AAACTCATAGTAAGTGATATTGGTAGCTTGTTTTCTTTGTGTTGTTTTGGTTTTGAGAAAATGGTTCCTCTTGTCTAATTTGTCAGATTTGTGCATGGAGAGCTGTTTGTAGTGTAGTGCTTGTTTGTTGAGGCCGACAGTGTGTGTCCTACACTCCCATTCCTTTCCTGAGGTCGGTCATCTGAGATTCCTCTACCTTTCTGTCTGTCTTACTGGAAGTTTGTCCATTTCATTGATCTTTTCAAAGACCCGGCTTTTTTGTATTTATTTATTTATTTTTTTAACATTTTATTAGGGGCTCATACAACTGTTATCCCAATCCATACACACATCAACTGTGTAAAGCGCATTTGTACATCGTTTCTCAAAACATTTTCACTCCATTTAAACCCCCGACATTAGGTCCTCATTTTTCCCCTCCCTCCCCGCTCCCCCCTCCCGCATGAGCCCTTGGTAGTTTATAAATGGGTATTTTGTCATATCTTGCCCTGTCCGACGTCTCCCTTCATCCACTTTTCGGTTGTCCGTCCCCCAGGGAGGAGGTCACACACAGTTCCATGTAATCGGTTCCCTCTTTCCTACCCACTCTCCCTTTGCCCTCCCTGTTTTGCCACTCACACCACTGGTCCTATAGGGCTCATCCATCCTGGATTCCCTGGATTTTCAGTTCCTATCTGTACCAGTGTACCTCCTCTGGTCTAGCCAGTCTTGCAAGATCGAATTCGAGTCATGGTAGTGGGAGCGGGGAGGAAACATTTAGGAGCTAGAGGAAAGTTGTATTTCTCATCATTGTTACATCGCACCCTGACTGGCTCACAAAGACCCGGCTTCTTGCTTCACTTTTTCCCGTTCTTTCAATCTCTTCATTTCATTGGTTTATGCTTTCATCTTTACTCTTCCTTCTGTGTTAGCCTGGGTTCTCTAGAGAAGCTAAACCAGTGTTGCTTATATGCACGCATATCTAGAAAGAGAGTTGTATCAAGAAATGGCTCACACGGTCATAGAAATGGGTACGTCCCGTCCGGTTCAAGCTTGTAAGTCAGACATAAGCTGGAGGCTTCTCTGACTCGTGTAGCCGCAGAGGCTGTTGCCAAATTTTTCACAACCCCACATTCAGTTACGTGGTCCTATGTGTTTAAGAAACTCTGTTCTAGAGCCGCAAAACCAATGGCGCATGTTTATGTTTACAGACAGGGGTTAACATCCAAAAAATGGCTTACACAGTTGTAGAAGCAGGTCAGTTCCAAATTGCAGGTCAGATGTCAGACTGGCGGTTTATCTCGACTCACGAAGTTACACGGGCTAATGATCGCAAGATCAGCACGTCAGATGGTTGCAGAAGTGAATGAATCCAAGGTCAGATGCAGGCTGCTGATGACTCTCAGGATTGAGAGGAAATGCACAAATACACAAATCCAAAGAAGTAAAAGTTGGCGGATGTGCCATATGCAAGATAAAGACCCAGCAAAAAGCAAGCAAGAGTGATTTTCCACAGCAGCGATGTATATGGGAAGTAGGCCATTCCCCTGGGGAAACTTTTTAAAACTAACTGGCTGCTCATAGTATATCGCATTCTGGAGATGATTACATTATGTTAGATCTCATCATGGGGGAGGGGGTCACTCGGTGATAACTGCCAAACCACAGAGTCCCAGCACAGCCGAGTGCTGGCTAAAGTTTGCTCGTCTTCTTGAATCTGAATTCATGTTCTTGCTAAACTTGGAGAGCTTTCTGCTTCTGTGACCCCAACACCACCCACATTAACTTTTCTCTTCGTCTTTTGGTTAAAGAACCATGGGTGTCTGTTTTTTCCCCGGTCTATTTTCTTTCAGTTGTTCAGACTGGATAATTTCTATTGCTCTGTCTTCCAGTTTTATGATATTTCCCTCTGCTGACCTCCATTCTGTTATTGAGTCTGTTAAACTTTTTAATTTCAGTTCTTGTATTTTCCGGCTCTAGCAGTTCCATTTGGTACGTCTTTACATTTTCAACGTGTATGCTCGGGCTTTCTACTTCTTTGCCGAAACATTCATATGTACATGTATTTGTTTCGAGCATGTAATTGCTCATTGAAATATTTTATCACTTTAAAATCTTTGTCCGATAACTCTAACATATCTGTCATCTCAATACTGGCCTTTGAAATAAATAAATAAATGGCTTTTGACGTCGATGAGTGACTAGCAACTGAATCCTGGACATGTCTGGGTTATTCCAGGAGACTGAGTCTTATTTAATCCACTGTTCCAGCTACTTGTTTCTGATCCTACTCTAATAGGTGAAGAGGGGTGCCACTCTACTGCCAGATGGAGGCATAAGTTCAGCTTCTATATTCAGCCGCCAATGACACCCACTGAGGAGAGGCAGGGGTGGAAGTGTTGACTCTCCATGTGGCCGCCCTTGAAACTACAGCCCCCACCACTCACTGCCATCAAGTCAATCCCAACTCATTGAAATATTTTATCACTTTAAAATCTTTGTCCGATAACTCTAACATATCTGTCATCTCAATACTGGCCTTTACATGAAATAAATAAATAACTTTTGAAGTCGATGAGTGACTATCAAGTGAATCCTACAGGCCAGAGTAGAACTGTTCTTGTGGAGTGACAATCCGTAGGGGAGCAAAGTGCCTCGTCTTTCTCTTGGGGAAAGGCTGGTGGGTTCGAACAGCCGAGCTCGTGGTTAGCAAACCAATGGCATGAAAGCACCTTCGAAACTACAGTGGGGTGTCTTATTACTGCTGGGGGATGGGGAAAGTCCCGGCTCTCCACCAAGCCTTCTCGGACCCCATTTGGTGAGGAGAGGAAGGGACACCAGTGGTTGTCGTGTGTGTATGAGAGCCCAGGCCCCCATCTGCTCCCCAGTGCTGCATTTGCAGAGTACGCTTTGTGGGGTACTCCGCCCTCTAGCAATGTCACTCTCCCTTTCTGTCCATCCCACAAGCACCTGCCTGGAAGGTCATTTTGATACCGTGTGCACAGTTCAGCGTGCACAGCGCACACCTCTCAGATTGTGAAACAAAGGCAAGAAGACTAAGTTCGGAGGCTTTCAGAGAGGGCTCTTGTTTATTTATTCATTTATATTCACGAGCTCGGTGTACTTCCCCAGAGAGAAGGCATGGCCTCTGCGGACAGTGGTTGTTAGCAGGGCCGCTGGCTCTGGTGCCCGGAGTCACGTGTTGTGACCAACCAGACGCCATCCTACCAGCACACTCTACGTGGTCACTGCCCTAAACCCCCCACATTGTGAACGGGAACATTTTTAAGGAACAGACGGTAGGGTTGGTTCTGTACAAACGCATGCGTGAAAGTTAAACCTGAAAAACAACATCTCTGACTGTGACCCTCGAGGAGACAGTAGAACCGTCCCACAGAGTTCCCAAGGCTTTCAGTCGGTACAGTGGCAGACTGCCGCATCTTCCTTTCAAAAGCATGGCTGGTGGGCTTGAACCGCCAACCATTCCACTCGCAGCAGAGTTCCCAAAGACTCTACTACCAAACGCAAACTCACTGCCATGGAGTCGATTCTGACTCCTAGCTACCCTATGAGATGGGGTCGCCCTCCCCTGGGGGTTTCCCAGACTGTAACTCTTTCTAGGAGTGGAAGCTGCATCTTTCTCCCTCAGAACTGCTAGTGGCTTTGAACTACTGACCTTGGGAGTAGCAACCCAACATGCAACCACTAATCTATCAGGGCTCCTCAACATCTCCATAAAAACCCTTTAAAAGCGGAGTGGGGAGGGGTACCAAAGTCTCTATACCATCCATTCCTAAGGCTGGTGGCTCATTAAACCACCTTCGACGTCAAAGGTGCTGACAGTTGCAGTGAAGGCCCCGGGGCTGGGCAGCCATAGTTTCTGCCAGCTTTCCAGGTCAAAGATCACTGACCTCCATCCTCCATCCGTCAAGCAAGGGGGCCAGCAAGGAGCTTGCTGGAAATGCAGTCTTGGCCCCATCCAGATCCAACGCCTGCATTTTAACAAGATCCCGAGGTGATTGATGTGCACATTAAGTTGCGAGAATCGCCTCTGCAAGTTACTGGCTGTGAACTCCCCAAAGGGACTTCAACTCCCTTTACCCCAACACAGAATCTAAGAGGTCACCGTTTATCATCCCAGGAGGCTGGGGGTGGGGGGCTGAGAATGGAAGGAGTTGGGAGGTGAGTGAAGAAACCCTTCCAGGAAGGCTGCGTGCTCTCTTCTGGGAATAGCAGTGCCTAACTCTTGTTCATAACACATTGAGATAGCCTCCGTGGGCACCACCTGTTTCCCCATCTAGGCTTCGCTCCCAGCTGCAATTCAGCCCTCCCCGCTGACAGAAATGATCCTTCCCAAGGCGGGATAAGCAACAAGACAGGTGACGGCTGTGGGGCTCACTTATGAGGCACCAAGAAGTGCATGCCCCGTCGGATTGAACCCTCGTCACAACTCTGGGAGGCCCACCTTGCTCGAGATCATGAATGCGGTTGAGACTCGGGTCAAGAGCTGGCTCCGGTCATCAACGCTGGTGGGGGGCAGTACGACGGCGCCACGTCAGGCTGATTCTGACTCAGATGGCCTCTGCATGTTTCCTCCCGAGAGAAGAGACTGAACAGGGCACAACCTAGTGAGTGACCGTCTATGTTCGTCAAGAAAATATTTCTGCTTCGTCATGATCAGAACATAGTCAGCAATCAAGGGCACCCTAGAAGGCAGAGGACTGCCCAGAAGCGTGTGGCCACTGGCCCGGCTGGCTTTGTCCTGGGGGAGAACGTGGAAGGGCACCTGATAACCAGAGAACCTTCCAGGGCTCGCCGGACCCCTCCTGTTTGGAAAGGGTGATAGCCGAGGGTTGGCCAACACCTCTTAGGTGCTTTTCTGGAAATCTAATTACCCACAATCCCTTTGACCTCTAAGAAAGGAGACTATAAAAACTCAAAGACAGTTTTCTTTTCTCAATCTTAGGTACACGGAGACTCCCCTGTCCCTTCAGGAAGGAGAGCTTCCAGAACCAGGGATCATGGCAGCTTTACAAGAAAAAAAGACGTGCAGCCAGAGGATGGAGGAATTCCGGCACTACTGCTGGAACCCAGACACGGGGCAGATGCTGGGCCGGACTCTGTCTAGGTGGGGTACGTGCTGGGGGCCGAGCAGTGCTGCTGAGGGCAGGCTGGGGGCTGAGTGGGTGAGGACTAGACGGGGCGGGAATGGGGACTGTGTGAGATGATTCTGGGGAGGGCTCAGGGACAAAGGGAAGCAGGAGAGCTATGGTTATGAATGAAGAGACATTTGGCGCTTGGGTGTGTCCAGAACATACCAGAACAAAGGCTGTGCTATTTACTAGCTGTGTGACTTCAGGCAAGAGACTGTCCCTCCTGGTGCCAGGATAGGACATGGGAGAATTGCCCTGTGGGTTTCCCAGACTGGAACTCTACAGTGATAGAAAGTCTCATCTCTCTACCACATAGAGACCGAGTAGAGCTACCCCTGTGGTTTTCCAAGACTGGAACTCTTTAAAAGAGTAGAAAACCTCATTTTTCTCCCTTGGAGCCACTGGTGGTTTTGAACTACTGACCTTATGGTTAGCAGCCTAACACAACACCACTATGCCACCCGGGGGTACTGTAGCCCACTGATCTCACAGATCCATTTCAGCTCCCATGTTCTCTAATTCACTCAGAGAAAGTCCTGAGAATCGCCCTCCGCCCCCAAGTTGTCAGCCTTCTGTTTAAGATCAGTATTTCCAAAACTACTTCACACTGATAATGATCTTGAAACAGACTCTTTAAAGTGTGTGTGTAGGGGGTGGGGTGCTTCTTAGGTCAAACAAATTTGGGACACAAGGATTTACTTAATTAAGTTCAGCTGTTTTATTTCCAGACTCCTCCAAGCTTTTAACATGCTAGTGTGTGCTGGAAGGTATTGGGCGTGAATGTCCCAAACTTAGCCCGGGATCCCCCCCTTTCTGTCAAGACTTGTTGAGGGATGTCCTGTCGTGGCTAGACCTTGCGTCCCATGACTAGGCGTTGTGATAGACTTGTGAGAGGGATTGTTATTATTTCTGTTTTGATTTGGGTTAAGTATGGTTGAGGTGGGAGACCAGAGGTACTTTTTGTTCTTGAAACAAAAGAAACAAGCTGTCATCATCTGACTCATGGTGACCTGGGTGGGGAACTGCTTATGCATCCAACAGTCACCCTCAAGGTCAGCAGTTCAAAACCACCAGTCGCTCCGTGAGAAAAAAATGAGACCTTCGACTCCCATAAAGAGTTGGTTCCGGAAACCCACAGCGGCCGTTCTACCCAGTCTTCTAGGGTCGCCATGAGTTTTGTCCTTTAGACTTGCCCAACTAAGGACATAATGAGTAAGTGACCCACGTGAAACTAGGACTGCCCCTCCCGTTTTTAAGTAGACATCTTTATGGGGACGGAGGAGCTTCTGGAGGGGTTCGAACTGCCAACTTATCAGTTAATGGCCGAGTGCTCAACCAGAGCATTGCCGGCGCTCCCTCTTACCAGGGTGGCCTCTCTCATAATGCCTCCCCGCCCTGGCGGTCTGCAGGCCCTGAGGTGCCCACTGGCAGGCTGGAGTGAGCCAGCGTCCTCATCCTTGTCAAGACAAGGAGAGTGTCCCGGGTCCCTTCGCTCCTTGGTTGAGAGCTAAGCAGATCCGTCTGAAGGTCTGGCAAGAAGGGGCAGCAATGGAGAGCCCGTACTGGAGCACATTACCAGGCAGGGGTGGGGGTGGGGTTCCCTATTAAGGCAAGCCTCCAAAGAATAAAAATGTACCTCTGAATCCCCACCTCAGCCATATCTAGCTGAAATCAAACCAGTCATTAAAAAAATAATAATAATCCTTCTTACAAGACTAACTCAGGACCTAACAATGGGATGCAGTGTCTGTTGCAATTGGCCTTACAAACAGAACATTCCCTGGCCACTCGCTGCCTCGGGTCTGGAAACTTGGGAAGAAGGCAACCCTTGCTTTTCTTGGCTGGGAATGAGTCCCCCCTTTCAGAAGGAGATGGTTGAAAGACCATTTCCTACCCTTCACTGCTAGAGACCCCCTCCAAAGACTCACTGCCATCCAGGTGATGCCCACTCATTGTGGCCCTTTAAGACAGGTAGAACTGCCCCTGTGGGTTTTCTGGACTGCAACTCTCATGGGAGTAGAAAGCCTCCTCTTCCTCTCGAGGGGCGGCTGGTGGTTTTCAAATGCTGACCTCGTGGTTAGCGGCCCAACGAGTAACCACTTTGACACCAGGGCTCCTGGCAAAGCCCCTAGGTGGTGTGAATGGTTTGACCTTGACAACTAACTTTAATGGTTAGCAGTTGAAAGCCACCCAGCATCAGTCAGAAGAAAGCCCTGGCAATCCGCTTGGGGAAAGACTGCAGCTAAGAGAACCCTGTGGGGCAGTTCTCTGTAACACCAGGGCATACCAGGCATCAGAATGGAATGGGTTTTTTTGCTCACCTCCAAGAAAATGCAGGTTATCCTGGCCCGGTGCTCTCCTTGGATCCCCCATCTCTGTCCCCTCCTCGAAGTCCTTGATAGTCCCTGTGGTCCTGGAGCAGCACCCTGGCCAACACTTGGGCAAATGTTGGAAAAGCAGAATGTCAGGGTATGCCCTCCACCCCAGCCAGCCGCCCTCAGACCTGCTGAGGCCAAACCCGCGAGTCCCAAGCTGCCCTGGTGTGTCTTGTGCCTGTGCTAGTGTGAGAGGCTAACTACCCTGGGGCACCATTCCCGTCTGCCCAGTGAGAAAGTGGTGAGAGAGAACGAGGGCAACTACATCTTCATGTCAACCAGGCCAGATCCGAGATCTATGGGGATTGGGGGCTGTGGGAAGGGGTGGTGAGTGCACTAATTTCATAAAATTTGCTACCACTGAAAGATTACTTCCTGGAGCAATGGAACTGGCCCCAACGTCTCCGTGATGTATTGGGAGCTTATTTTTTGCGTGCAAGGAGTCCTGGGGTAGTGCCAACGATTAAGTGTTCGGCTGCTGACTGGAAGGTTGGCAGTTGAAGTCCACACGGAGTCTAGAGAAAAGGCTGGCGATCCATTCCTGAAAAAAGAAAAACCAACCATGAAAAACCAGGTCTACAGTTCTACTCCGCGAGTCAGAATCAACCGCCCCCAGCAGTGACTCTTCTGGGCATGGGCTGGGGGAGCGTGTGTGTGCACCCGTCAGTGTGCAAAACGTAAAGCTCAGGATAGGACTGCTGAAGGAACTGTCATGATAGAAATTAGACATCCCCCTTCCTGGAAGGATATAACCTGCAAGGGGCATGGAGCACACACCTGGATGACTGTGGTGCTGGGGGCTGTTGTTGGGTGCTGTCCAGTTGGCTCCGGCTCACAGCGACCCTGGGTACAACAGAACAAAACCCGGCCTCGTCCGGCATCACCCTCACAGTTGTTCTTACGCGGGAACCCCTTGCTGCAGCCCATGAGTCAGCCCGTCTCTTTTCAGGCCAGCCTCTTTGTCGCTGCCCTCCACTCTACGAAGCATGATGGCCTTCCCAGGGTCCGGTCTCTCCTGACGGCAGAACCAAAGTACACGCGCCTTGCCTGTGAGAGCCATTCCGGCTGCGCTGTTTCCAAGACAGAACTGTCTGTGCTTTTGGCAGTCCGTGGTATTGTCGATGCTCTTTGCAGACACGATAGTTCTTCATAGGTCTTCCTTATTCAGTGTCCACCTTTCACACGCACATGAGCTTTAAAAGACCTCGACTTGGGTCTGCCATACATTAGTCCTCAAAGGAGCACCCTAACTTTTCAATACTGTAAAGAGGTCTTACGCCGCAGATTTCCCTGATGTCATACATCGCTTTACCTCCGATGTATATGTAGCTTAGGATATAAACAATAAGAGAAATTGGGGTGGGGTGGGGGAATGCTAATGGTAGGAGGAAGCTGGTAAACCCCCCCAAAAAACTTGCTGCACTCAACAGCATTGAGCCCAGGGCGTCTGGGAGAGACAGCATTCCGGCTGGGAGAGGGAGAGGGAAAGAAAGGAATTCTTGGGCTGGGCAAAGACTTTAGGTAGCAATCCAGGGGACATAGCAGGTTCCCGTGGTGGGTGGGTCAGCTGGGTAAGCGGCTGTGGCTGTGGTGTCTGAGGAAGAAGCGAGGGTCAGGGTTGGCGCCCTGGTCCCCTGCTGTGCCCTCAGGAGCCCAGTGTTCTGGGCAGCTCTGCCTGAGCAGCCCCAGCCACGACGTTCCGTGAGGCTGGCTCGCAGAGCATGCTAGTAGGATGGTACTGTTTCACCTACTGCCCAACATGTGGCCTCAGCGTCTGGGGGTGAAAATCTCAGGAGACAAGGAAAGCCCAAGTCGGATAATATGACGAAAGCAAACGGAAACCGGCCAAGCATTCTGCTTGAGAAAGGTCAGAGGGGAGGAATCCCCTTTCTTGTCAGAAAGCTGGTGGAGCAGGACTTGGGGATCCTCTGAAAGCCCCAATGTTCTTATTGTCAAGGTTACTACAAGGTCATCATTACCTGGCTCCTTGCCATCTGGGGTTTAGTTCCCCTTTGATCTAATTGGTGTTTCTGTCATTTTTGGTGACCGAGGGCTGTGTGGTAATAATGACTGCTGGCACCTCTTGGCCAGTCCACGGCCCTTTCCAGATTCTTTGTCAACACCATCCTTCACAGACACGGATTCTTCTCCAGTCTTCCTTTCCCAGTGTGCAACTCGGCCAGGCGCCAACCCTTGTTCTAAAGCAGCGGCTCTCAACCCGTGGGTCGCAAACGCCCCTTTCACAGGGGTCCCCTGATTCAGAGCAGTAGCGAAATTATAGTTATGCAGTAGCAACGAAAATAACGTTATGGTTGGGGTCACCGCCACACGAAGAACTGTATGAAAGGTTGAGAACCACTGTTCAAAAGACTTTACTTGCAATGGCTGGTGTGCCCTCACAAGCGGCCTCTGAGCTAGGGACTATGTTCATGCCCATTTTTCAGATGGGGAAGCTGAGGTGCAAAGGCATTGAAGGAAAACGCCTAACATCACACAGTGGCCAGCCCAGGAGTCCAGGCATCCTGGCTTCAAAGCCATGTTCCCAGCTCCCGTGTCATGCTGTTGTCGTACTCGTACGGATTCGGATTCTGACGTATTTTCACGGCAGCTTTTTGCTTGCTGACTGAAATGTGCCCAGCCTTCTGAATGGGCACTGCCCATGTGGAAGCCGGTGGGAAAGAGGGTCATTTGAAAAGGGCTGTGACAGCCATTGGTAGGCTGAAACGATAGGCCCGTGTTGGGCAAGTTTTCATGAAAGCCTTTTCAGTCTCAGTTTCCGCCTCTGTACAATGGGGTGATGCGTCTATCTCCCAGAGTTGTAAGGAGCGAGGAGATGACCCCTGAGTAGGGTATGTCAGCCCGGGTAGACTAGAGAAACAAATTCAGAGACACTCATATGTGTATAAGAAAGAGCTCTATCTACAAAAGCAATTGAATACTGGGAAAACATCCTAGCCCAGTCTAGATCAAGTCCATAAGTCCAATATTAGCCCATAAGTCCAATGCTAATGTAAATTCCTCTTCAGACTCATGAAACACATGCAATGATGCTGAATACAAGAAGATCACAGGCCAGTGGATGCAAAGTCTTGTGGATCCAGTGGCAGTAGAGGCATCTCAGTGCTGGCCGGGGTCTCCACGTGTGTGGTTCCTTTAGCCCCAAGGCTCAGTCTGTCTCCATGTGGCTTGTCAACAAGAATGTCTCTCTGGGAGTGAGCCTTCGTCCTGCCTCCAGCGAGCTATTTATTTCTGTCATGCCTCCAAATGAGGTCATCAAGCTCCAACCCGATTAGCAGGCTAAACTCTACCCCTTCACTCTTAATCCTCAAATTAACAACAGATTCTGTAACTACCACAGAAGGGTCTGGCAGAATTGGCTTTGGCCCTTCTCTATCTCCTCCAGATTACAAGGGGATAAAACCCATCGTGTTCCTGATTTCCTTCAACAATTCTTATGCACCTCCTATGGGTCAGGCAAGGAGCTACGGTTGCATGGTGGTTACGTGTTAGTTGGGCCGGTACCACAGACCAGTAGTTGAAAACCACCAGCTGCCCCCAGGGAGAAAGATGAAGCTTTTTCTCCCATAATCTGAGGTATAGTCTCAGAAACCCACAGAGGCAGTTCTGCCCTATAGGGCCGCTGTGAGTTGCCAGTGGCAGTGAGTTGAGTGATGTAGCAGCAGGCCCTGTTTAGCCATAAGGTTCTAAAAGGGACGCAAAAATTCCTGCCTTCACAGAGCTTACATTCCAACAGGGGTAAAGAGATAAATCAGATAGTGGTGATGGTACGGAGTCAGAGAAGAGTACAGTCTGATAGGGTCCCACTGAGGTGAGGCCCTTTATGCAGAGACCAGGGGCAGGCCAGGGAGAGCGTCAGTGGCCTAGGAAATGTATTCCTAGGTAGCCCGGGCAAGGGAGCGGGGCAGACCCTGCTGTGGGACCGTGGGTAGTCCCCTCGGCGTCTTTGCAGAATTGCTCCTCTCCCCTCTGGCTGCTTCCACAAAGCCACAAGATTTGGAAGTGCGAAACTATAGTGGGTCCACAGCCAGCTTAATGCAGGAATGTCACAAGCTAGCTGATAAATAAACAACATTCCTGAGCATAGAAACCCAGCTCCAACATCAAGAACACAGACTTCCAGACGGGGAGAGGAAGGGCAGGGACGGGACATATTGTCACTGGGATTTTCTACGGAGGCAGGATGTGCAGTCAGGATTAACTGATAAGTGACCCTGATAAGATATCATCCCAACTTTGGAGGCAGGGCAGAGAGACACGCCCCGAGGCGACGAGGCTCCTCAGGAACAAGGGGATGAGGACGTAGCCCTGGGACATGGCATTGCTAGTCATTATTCCCTGCCGCAGGGCCTCCCCACTCTCACCCTCGCGCTCACTGACTTGGCTCCTGTCCTTTCATGATGCGCAGGGTCACTGGAAAATGAATCAGGACAAGGAATCTGCACCCACGGGCCCACGTCAGCACAGACGATTCCAGAAAGACCAAAGTCAAAGCAAACATGAAAAGGCATCCCCTTCCTGATATTTTGTTCCTTGAAAACATCTGCATTTGTCAGAGCAAGTTAATTTACAAATGAGAAAGATAAAAAAAAGACAAAAACCCACCCAGCTAAATAAATCAATGTCGCTGCAGGAGTCACACGTCACAAAAATCCTTTTCTTTCCCTGTAGTTTCTATTTGGCTCAGGCTTTACAAGGAGAAAACAATATATTGGCATGTCTTAGGATCAAACAAAACGGAGCCTCCTCCACATTTACCTGGATGGCATACCAGAGGAAAACATGCCTTTCCTTGACAAGAGCGTTAAAGCTTAATACGGGTCTCTAATCCCCTCCTTCTCTTTCTTACCGTAATACTTGAAGCAAGGTTCACTGTGTGCCCCGGGCTGGATACCCCACTCAGTGCAAAGGACTCAAAACAAAACAAAGAACAAAACTCACTGCCATTAAACCAATTCTGACTCACAGCAACTCGACAGAGAGAATAGAACTGTACGTAGGCGTTGAGCTGAGATCCGCATGGTTGGCAGTTCAAAACCACCAGCAGCTCCAAGAGAGACAGGCTGGGCTTTCTACCCCCATACATTCTCACAGTCCCAGAAACCCACAGGGGGCCGCCTTGAGTCAGCACTGACTCCGTGGTAGAGCTTGATTTGGGTTTGAGAGGGGTTTCTGATACTGCAGCTCTTGACATGAGTAGAAATTCCTGTCTTTCCACCCTGAGCAACTTGTGATTTCAAACAGCTGACCGTGTGGTTTTCAGCCCAAGGTGTAAACCACTACACCAAACTTACTGCCTAAGGTCCATTTTGACTCACCGTGCTCTATGGGCTGAGGGGAAGTGCCCCTGTGGGTTTTCAAGGCGGTAAATTTTTTTTGTTTGTTTGTTTTTTCTTCTCTTTTTTAACATTTTATTAGGGGCTCATACAACTGTTATCCCAATCCATACACACATCAATTGTGTAAAGCCCATTTGTACATCGTTTCTCAAAACATTTTCTCTCCATTTAAACCCCCGACATTAGGTCCTCATTTTTCCCCTCCCTCCCCGCTCCCCACTCCCGCATAAGCCCTTGATAGTTTATAAATGGGTATTTTGTCATATCTTGCCCTGTCCGACGTCTCCCTTCATCCACTTTTTGGTTGTCTGTCCCCCAGGGAGGAGGTCACACACAGTTCCATGTAATCGGTTCCCTCTTTCCTACCCATTCTCCCTTTACCCTCCCTGTTTTTCAAGGCGGTAAATTTTTACTGAAGTAGAAAGCCTCATCTTTGTCCCTACGAGCAGCCGATGCATTTGAACTGCTGATCTTACCATTATCAGCCCAATGCGTCACCCACTACACTACCAGGGCTCCTTCATGGGTGGTGAGGAAATCCTGATGGTGTCTGCTGTTTAAATGGTTTCCAGGAAAACAGAGGATGTAGCTGGCCCACTAGCCCTGATTGATGTCTATGCTCGAGAACCCTTGAGATATTCCCCAGTACCTTAGTGTATTGAGTGTTGGGCTGCTAATCATGAGGTCAGTGGTTCGGACCCACAAGGCACTCCACAGGAGAAAGATGAGGCTGTCTGCTCCCAGAAAGACTTCCAGGCTCAGAACTCTATATAGGGCAGGCAGGGCAGGCCAAGAGTTGGAATTGACTGCATGACAGTGCCCGGGGGTTCACCATGTGAAGTTATTTATGTTTCAAGGGAGGAGGTAAACAGACAAAACCCAGGAAGTTACGCAAAGACAAAAGCTACGCACTGTGGCTCTGAGCTCACAGATCCCTTGTTCCATCCTGGCTCTGCCACTTGCGAGCTGTGACCTTTGGCAGGGAATCTATCTGACCTCGCTGACCTCCGTTTCCTTCCCTGAACAAAGGGAGGATAGCACATACTCCCACCTCAGAGAGTTGGGACAGGGAGAGTTAATGATTGTGGAGCTCCTGACACCCGGTAAGTCTCATTTAGTTATTAATATCGTTGTGACTACAGTTACTGATGTAAGCAAGTATAGCTAAGATGGCACGTTGGTAAATTGTTGGGTGAACAATCACAAAAGGACAACTATATGAGACCACTGTCATAAAGGGTCCCTGGAGACGTAGTGGATTACATGTTGGGCAGTTAACTGAAAGGTTAGGAGTTCAAAACCACTGCCCATCCAAGAGAGAGAGAGAGAGAGAGAAGGCTTTCTACGCCCATGAGCGTTACAATCGAGGAACCATAGGTGGCTGAGTCGGCACTGAGTTGATGGCAGTGAGCTGGGTTTTTCAGGGTTTGGTGCTAAGGAAAGGTCAAAAACAAGAAGATAAGGGCATCCCTACCAACTCTGAAACAGACTTTGGGGGCTGAGACGTGGGGATGGGAGGTAATGGAAGGGGCTAGACCGCAGACAGGTGTTGACTTGGGTGACTGGGAAGAGAGTGGCCCAAACAAGGGAGAGAGAAGCCAGGCAGTGGGTGAGGGGTTGGCTTGGTAGTTTAAACTTTGGAATCCAAAGTTGATGATCTGGAATACAACCCCTCACGTAATGTACAATTGAAAACTTGCTATTTAGAAAATGCTGGTGGAAGGGAAAGGAGCCGGCCCAAGGGGCCCCATATTGCACGGCTCCCACTCAGGGGACATATCCAGGGCAGGCACGTGCACAGAGAGGGAAGGCAGCTATTGGTTGCATGGGACGGGAGTGGAGGTGGAGGCTGGTGGCTCTGTAAGGGGCTTCCTTTTGGGAGGACTGGAATGTTCTGAAACAAGACTGTGGTGACGGTTACCCAGCCTTGGGGGTGCACGAAGTACCACCGACGACGTGTACACTTTAGAAAGGTAAATTCTATGTTCGCTGGTTTTCGGTGGCTTTTCCTGAAACTGCGTTTCCTTCCCAGTGTGGATCAGCCTCTACTACGTGGCTTTCTACGTGGTGATGACTGGCCTCTTTGCACTCTCCATTTACACGTTAATGTGGACACTCGACCCCTACACACCAGACTACCAGGATCAATTAAAATCACCAGGTAAGCGAGCCGGAGAGTTGCCCAGCGTGGCCCAGTATGCAGAACACCCAGGAGTCAGGAGCTCCGGACACTGCCCCCACAGCGAAGCTGCAACCCCGGTCAATGCTCAGTCCAGAATAAAGCCAGATGTAAAATCCTTTCTCCCCGGGGAAGCCCAGCGCCCTGACCCTTGGCGGGACCCACAGAGCCCACGGTGGGGAGCCCTAAAAGGGTCTTCTGTGCCCTGTCAGCCTTGGAGCCTGAAGGCGGCCCTCTTAGCTGCCTAGCTGGCTTTTAGAACACACACCAAATGCCTAGATGGCCTCTCTGCTTCAGAGGGCCCCAAATTATAAAGGCTGAATTGGCTTTAGTTTTAATCATGAAAACAGAAAGCTTTTTGTTACAGAGAAGAAAGGCGGACGTCAGTATGCATATTCACTTACTTGATATGCTCATATATGCACATAGACAATTTCTGGGAGGGCAGACAAGAAGCTGTTACCCACAGTCCAGTCAGCCCAGTGGATTGGATCAAGGATGAAGGAAAATGAGCTTGGTTCCCATTTACTGATCTCTTCACTATGGGGAATCTTATCCCTGGAATCGCACATTGAAACCCAGAAAGTGACATGTTCTTCTTCCACGGCCCTGTCCAGTGACAAAGACCCAAAGGAAGAGAACGGCTAGCCCAAGGTTCAAGAGGGTGGATGGAGCAGACATGCTGTCCTCGCTCACCAAGCACTGAGAGGATCGAAAGTCATTCATGACCAAGCGGCAGCGGGTCAGAACGGTTTGGAAGACACCAGCATACGGGATCGGATTGACCGAAGGCAAGAAGGTTGAAGAAACTAGACAAGAGTGGAACAAACATCCCCTACACCCAGAGATGTCCACGTTTATAAAATCGTGCTTTCCAAGGATCGCTGAGAAGGCCCAGGAGAGGGTGCAGACACAGAGGGTGGTGTGTGGGCCCTGCGGGATACGAGCAGGGCACTTCAGACAGCTTCCAATGTTGGAGTCAACACCGAGACTGAGGTTGGGGCGAAGGGGGAGGCAGAGAGAGCTTGGGGTGATGTGAGTGCTCCACCTGGAGGACTTAGGTGCACCTGAGGCAAGCCATGGTATTTTCCATCGTCTCATATGCATGTGAAAGTTGAACATTGAATGAGGAAGACTGCAGAATTGACGTCCTTGAATTACGGCACTGGCAAAGAAGATTGAAGGTACTGTGGCCTGCCAGAAGGACCCACAAACCTGTCTTGTGAGAAGTAGTCAGTAACGGCCCACTGTGCGTAATGCACATATATGTACGTTCAGGAGCCTGAGTGGCACAGTGGCTACTCATTGGGCTGCTAACTGTAAGGCCAGTAGTTCTAAACCACCAGCCTCTCCAAGGGAGTGAGATGAGGCTTTCTACTCCGAGTTCCGGTCTGGGAAACGTACAGGGGCATTTCTACCCTGTTGCTACGTCAGCATCGACTCGATGGCAGGGAGTTTGGTTTTTGTTTATATGCACATATATGATACACACATGCTCATTTCTACATCTTTCTATTGACAGAAGCAAACATTTTCAACAGATGCACATGAACTACTGAGAGTGGGGAGCGGGGTGGCTTTTGCTTTGAACTTCTTCCACTCCGGCACTCTGGATTTTTCAAATTGCCAAAGAGCAGGTTGCCCATCACCCAAGCTGGGTACTGTCCTTCCCAAAGTGTGCGTGAAAACACAAGTTCATTTAGAAACTCAATTTTAGGTTCTGGATTACTCGTCACTGTTGACAGCCACTCGCTCACTGCCATTGCCTTTCTGAGACTGTAACTTTCTTCTTTTTTAAAAGGTACTTTTCTTGATATCACATTCACATATCAAACACTCCCATAGTTAAATCGCTTTTCAAAAGAGGGGACTGTGATTCTTAATGGGCATAGGAAGCCTGGTCTTTCTCCCACTGCTCCACACACACACAAAAGGGGTGGGGGAAACCAGAGCTGAAGTGGCCGCTTCCTGAGGCGAGGCCGAGAAGAGAAGATCTGACAGCCGCAGCCGCTCCCCCTAAGGCAGCCTTCCAGCTGCAGCCTGAGCAGGCTCTGCACGTGAGAACTCTGTGCCCGGGCAGCTCAGCCCCAAGACCGCTCAGAGTCCCCTGCGGAGAGATGAGTCGGACCCCCCTGCTCCCTCCCATAAATGACCTATCGATGCAGGATTTTCTCACAGTCAGCAGCCAGCGCCCCGCTCATCACCGGTGGATTCTCCAAACAAAACCACCCCCTGCGATGGAGGGGATTCCGACCCGGAACAGCCCTAGGGGCAGGTAGCCCTGCCCTGTGGGTTTCCCAGGCTGCACCTCTTGACAGATGTGGGACGCCTCAGGGACTTTTAAAGCTTTAGGGATGCCGTCAATGCACTGGCCATGAACCCAAAGGTTGGAGGTTAGATATGGTGGGCTGATCCACTTGTGAGCAATAGCCATCACAGACAGCCCTGTGGAGCACTGGTCTATGCTGACACAGGCCGGCTCACCAGGAGCCCTGGTCTGCTCGGCTGTGCTTGGTTGCTGGCTGTGCTTGGCTGTTGATTCCCTATGAGGAGCTGGCCTCGTTGCTTTCAACACACTCAGCATGTTGCTTCCAAGTTTCACTCAGTTCTAAATACACGGAGGGAGGAAGTCTGGTTTGCAGGGTGCCTGGCGTGGGAGGAGTTTCCTTCCTCAAATCCTGAAGAGTTCTACAAGAGTTGTGTCCCAGCTTCTGAGGACACTTAGGAGGACATAACTTTGACGCAAACCATTGGAAAGCGTGGTGTGCGCACCTGTACAGGTGGGACAGCTAGCTCTGCTTGTACCCATCAGTTCCGAGCGTAGCCAGCTGCTGGGACAGGCATATGTACTCTCTCCCCAGGAGTCACCTTAAGGCCAGATGTTTACGGAGAGAAAGGCCTGGAAATTTTCTACAATGTTTCTAATAACAGAACCTGGACAGACCTCACATACACTCTTCACAAGTTCCTGGCAGGTAAGGTTTTTTGTTTTTTTTAAGACTTCATGTAGCTTTGTTCTCATCCTCTAAATTAAATGTCATGCAGAAGATGCTCAAGTCCATGCCAACACTTTTGTCCAACCTGAAGTTGGCCTCCAAAGACCTGGTGGCGTAGTTGTTACTCACTGGGCTGCTTAACACAAGGTCAGCAGTTTGAAACCACCAGCCGCTCCGTGGGAGAAAGATGGGGGCTTTCTCCTCCCATAGAGTTATGGTGTCGGAAACTCACAGCGGCAGTTCTATCCTGTCCTCTTGTCGGCATGAACTCAACGGTGGTGTTTGTTTGGTTTGGATGAGACCCCTACAGCCACGGAGTTGTAGAGGGGACACACTGAGTCTTTCTTTGCACTTTTGTGACCGGGGCAGCCTACTCGCCAGCAGTCCAGGAGGCCAACAGAAACTGCTCTTCGGAGGAATACTACTTCCAGGAAAGTTTTGAGGCTCCTAACCACACCAAGTACTCCTGCAAGTTCACGGCTGATATGCTGCAAAACTGCTCGGGTCTGACGGAACCGTACTTCGGGTTTAAAGAAGGAAAGCCGTGCTTCATTATTAAAATGAACAGGGTGAGTGACATGCATTTTCAGACCGGGATATCAAAGGTGAAGACTTGTAGAGCCAGATATAAAGATCGTGGGGAACTCTGTGATGTTAAACTGCCCCACAGCAAAACAGGACCTTACCCAGGGTCTCTAACAAGTGGCGGAGCTGGGACTGGAACCTGAGTTCCAGTCCCCCCCACCTTTCTGAACTATTATACCGTGGCTCAACATGTAGTTAGGCTCATAAACTCACCCCTCTGGAATACAAATTTAAAGCCATCCATTCACAGAGGAGCCCGGGTAGCATAGGGGTTATGCATGGGGCTGCTAATGGCAAGGCCAGCAGGTCAAAACCACCAGCTGCCCCACAGGAGAAAGATGAGGCTTTCTTTCCCGTTCTCAGGAACCCACTGGGTTGTTCGACCCTGTCCTACAGAGTCACCACGAGCTGGAATTGGTTTGGTGACAGTTTGAGAGTTTATTCAGACACAGTGTTTATTCAGCAATTGTTGGCATGTGGATATCGTCAGACAGAATGCAGCATTGTTTAAGGATAGATCCCCACATTCAGCGTGCAAAGGAGAAAGTGATACACACATCAGTGCAAGGCAGCCAAGTCAGTATAGGAAGGCATTAACTATCCTTTGAGGGGAAGCAGATTTGACATTCGGCTAGTGGGTAGGCTCCCAAACTTATTTGGCCCACCGTCATGAGGAAAAAAACCCTAAAAAATTACTTACCCTTCCCACCCCTCTGACAGCGACTAAAGCCTTTTCTACTATAGCCCACAATCCAGGATAAAGTTCAGGTATCTGCCTGTCATAGCACCTCACAGGAAGATGGTAACACCTACTTTTGGAAACACCAATTTAATGCCGTTTTCTGAGGCAGGTCATGGATTCACGTATGTGCTGGTGTTCACTAAGCCCTTCAGGGCCACCCACTGGAGTGCTGGGGTGTCAGCAGTGCCTGACAGACCTGGCCTCTCCCATGGCCACATACACACACACACACACACACACACACACACAAAGGCTGAGGGTCACCCTAATGGAGTCATGGGGCCCAGGCACCAGGTGGTTTCCATTTTACAAGCGCAGTCATACATTTATCCACGGCCAGAGACATCAGGCGTCCTCACGTGGAGCTGGCATTTCATCCATGCTGCCGGACGTCTAGCCCTGGACAATCTACGTGCAGTCAGTCAGTCACTGTAAGCCCTGGGCAGCACATCACAAACCCTATCCAGACGGAGGTCCATTCTGGCAAACGTGGGCCACCGTGAGTCGGAGGTGGCTGGACAGATGGCACCAACACCCAGGGAGCACAAATGAGGGCCCCAACCACTCCTGGAGGGGGTTGGCCGCTGGAGAAGTCCAAGGACGATTTCTGGGAAAGGCAGACCCCGCATTGAGCCCTGGACATCAATCAGTGGAAACATGGGCTGGGGTTTCAGGTGGGAAGGACTGACGGTCTGGGTTTGGAAAAGCAGAAGGCGTATTGACAAGGCTGCAGACGGCCAGATTGGTACAAGAATGTTAGCATAAGGAATGTTTTCTCCAGCTCATGAGGCTGGAAAACTTCTCAGGAAAGGGAAGGGCACTGGCTGGTGTCTAAAGGGGCCCCGGTGGCGTAGCGGGTTCTGACTAAACTGCTGACCACAAGGTCAGGGGTTTGATCCCACCAACCGGCCTGCAAAAAGACTAAGCTTTCTACTTCCATAAAGATTAAAAATTTCAGAAACCCAAAGGGACAGATCTAACCTGTCTCAAAGGGTGGCTATGAGCTGGCATGGTTCAATCGCAGTGAGACTGGCTCTTGGCAGTTTTATTACTGACCAGACAAAAGGCTGTACTTAACACAGGATGGGCAAGACCACAAGCCAAGGACCAGGCAGGACCAGGCTCCTGGACAGAGCAGCAGGGTGGGCCAGGGCAAAGAACTCTTGAGGGGTTCTTTCATCTTAAGATCGGAGTTACTTGGTTTTTTTAAAAAAATTCATTAGGAGTTAACTAGAATGGGAGCCACCAGTCCACCCCAAAGTGTTTTCAGTCCCCAACTGGAAAAAAACCCACACACAAACAAAAGCAGATTCCTTGAACTAGGGACGCTGAGCGCCAGTAGGGAGAGAACGCTGGGCTTCCTTTCCCCTTCAGAGATAGGGGGCCACTGCACGCATTGCCACAGCAGTCAGGGGGACCCGATCCACGTGAATACTCATGCTTCTCCCTTCTGCTAGATCGTCAGATTTCTCCCCGGCAACAGCACTGCGCCGCCCAAAGTGGACTGCGCATTCCTAGTGAGTATCTCTGTGTGCAGCCCGCCCTCTGTGGTTTAGAATAAGCGGGAGGGCGCGGGTGGGGTGGGTGGTGGTGGTGGGTGTCGCTCTTTGGCCTCAGCTGTTGCAGAATAGGCATGGTGGGAATGGAGTTTTGTTTATAAAGTTAATACTATAAAAACTTATGGGACATACTACAAGTTTTCTCCAAGTAGATCTCGATAAAGTTCGTTGCACAAACTGCACGTGCCCTTGTCTTAAAGAGTGTGCTTATGGGGGACCAAAATCCAGTGTGAAGTGAAGTCATTCTTGTTTGGCTTCTAAGAGTGCCTGGGGTTGTTTATAAGTCACACAGCTGAGCAAGCGCGGAGAAAGGAGGCTACTTCTTATTCATACTTTTGTTTTGTTCTATTTATTTGCAAAACGACGTCCAGGTTTTCAACAGCCCCAGTTGCTAAGCAGTTCTCGGAAAATTCGCTTCAATCTCGGGTCTATTCCCGTTGTTTTCCAAACTGGTCTTCAAAGCACAGCGCTATGAAATAGATTTACACTTGCCTGCATCAAGTATTTCCTACAGCTCCTTTTGACCCGTTACCAGAAACCCAAAGTTCAGCTGCTATTAACGTAATGCAAACTGACCATGTAATGGTCGGGTCTTACAAAGAAACATCGGACCTCTTTACTGTCGCACTCTCTGTGGTGAAAGTTCCTTGAGGGGTCCTGGTGGCCTAGTCAGTTGCCTGTTGGGCTGCTGATGCATGGTCAGTGGTTCAAATCCACCAGCTGCTCTACCGGAAGATGATGAGGCTTTTGCTTCCAAACAAGACTGACAGCCTTGGAAACCCCAGGGAGCAGGTCCACTCTGTCTGAGAGGGTTGCTGAGTCCAAACGGACTCGATGGCAGCGAGTTTGGGGGTTTCTTTTGTGGTTGTTTCCGCTCAACAGCTGCTTTTGTGCCTTTCGGGATTTAACCACGTTGGCTTGAGATTTGACAGGCATGGTAGCACCCTCTGCCTGGTCTTTACGCTTAAAGTATACATCGGACAATTTGCTAATACGGATCCTGATCTCAGGAAACACCTTTATTAACTCCAAGAAAGTCACGCAAATGTCCACACCAGCCCGGGAACCCAGTCCATATGTGGCTTTGACCACGCTCGTTTGCATGTGCAGGCAAGCAAGCAAATCCTTGCCTTTATTATATATGAGGGTTCCAGAAGCTTGTTGGGCAGGACAGGGAGGTGGAAGTCCATTATTTTTCAATTCCATTTTTTCCACGGATTTTTTTTCAAGCCCTTCTGTTATCCATACTGAATTCTCTACTTATCTCTTCTTTAATCCCACATCGGCTTCTGCTCCCCTAGGAGGACCACAAGGACATCCCACCCCTGGAGGTCGCCTACTACCCACCCAAGGGCACCTTCAGCCTGCACTACTTCCCCTACTATGGCAAGAAAGCTCAGGTATGACCGCTTTGCTTTTCCCTGGACTGAAGCCACCATTCCCTCCCAATCAGCTCAACTTCAGCAAGGCTCAAGAGAGGAGACCTCGTGGTCCAGTGGTTCTGAGTTAGATTTCTAGCCATGAGGTCCCCTTTTGACCCCACCAGCCGCTCAGAGGGAGAAAGATGAAGCTCTCTCCGCCCTTTACCATCTCGGAAACCTACAAGGGCAGTTCTACCCTGTCCTGTAGGGTTGCTATGAGTCGGAATTGACTCAGTGGCAGTGAGCTTGAGTTTTTGTTTTTTCACAAAAAGCAGTAAATGTTCTTATTTCTTAAAAGGCATTTAGTGTCAATTCTCAGTCATTCAATGCTCCAGTGTCCCCTACCGCACAACTACTTGAAAACACATTCCTCTTATGAAATAAATACCGAATAGTATTATATTATTTTACTGAGAGCCTCCCAAATTCTATAAGACAACTGCCTCTTCCACTAACGATGTTTCCTCGTTTGTTTTTTCCCCCCTATCAGTCATCAGATGCATTGTAAAGTTCAATGGGCAATTGTAATGATCTGTTCCCTCCAGACCAATTTTTTCTAAATGGGAACTTTCATCCTAATAATGCCTAAAACCTAGGTTCCCAAACTTGGCTCATGATTGGAATCACCTGAGGATCTGGTGACATGACAGACCCTGGGCTCGTTTGCCCTAGAGCAGCGGTTCTCAACCTGTGGGTCGCGACCCCTTGGGGGGGGTGTCAAACAACCCTATTACAAGGGTTGCCCGATTCATAACAGTAGCAAAATGACAGTTATGAAATAGCAACGAAAATAATTTTATGGTTGGGGGGGTCACCACAACATGAGGAACTGTATGAAAGGGCCGCGGCATTAGGAAGGTTGAGAACCACTGTCCTAGAGGTTGATTCATTAGGCTGCAAATGGAGCCCAGGGGTCTAGAGTACGCATCGAAGTGGATGCCATTCCACTATATAGCGAAGGTGAATTGTAATGGCCACCCTAGGTCTTTTTCTGCTCCTACTACCAATTTAACTAGCTACTGATACCACCTTTGTTTAGAAAAAAATTCCCTGGTGACACAATGCTTGGGTATAAGGCTGGTAACCGAAAGGTTGGTGGTTCAAACCCACCGACTGCTCCACGGGAGGCAAGACCTGGCGATCCGCCTGCTCCTTTTTAAAGCTTGCAGCCTAGAACACACTGGTGCAGTTCTCTCTTCATACAGGGCCCCTGAGGGGAACTGACGGCTGCACACCCAAGCCCTGTCCATGTTCTCTCCCCCTTGAACATCAAGAAACGTTTGATACATCCAAGCTTTATGTCCTTCTATCTCAGCCTCAATACAGGAACCCTTTGGTGGCAGCGAAATTCCTCAACATCCCCAAGAATACAGAGGTTATCATCGTGTGCAAAATCCTTGCGGAACATGTTACCTTTGACAACCCCCATGACCCGTATGAGGGAAAGGTGGAGTTCAAGCTTAAGATTGAGAAGTAAACAAGAGCAGGTCTCCCATCAGGCAGACGAAGGGTCGTAACCTGCAGCGAAGATACAAAACCATCACCTACTCAGCTGGTCTTACTGAACCTGCTGGTTCCTTTCCAAATCACCTATCAAACCTTTAGAATGCCAACCCCAAAGCTGATTTGGTAATGCCCGTGAGGCTTTTAGGAGTGAAGTACTATAGATATAGGACTGAATGTTTCTTACCTCGATCTTAATTCTCAAAACAGCACCTGTAGCTGCCAAAAACAAAGTCACGCTACCATGGGAACTGAAAGGTTACCACTAGGATGATTCATCTCTAGGTAGAAGTCACTGTACTTATTTTTCTCTTTACTTCAATATCAACCATTGCCCTGTTCATCTGACGCCTAACGCACTGATCCAAAGGGCTTACAATGGACATTCTGAGTCTTTCTTTGAAGAACGCAATTCCTACCTTGTGAAAACAAAGCACATCGAAATCATTCTTACTATACACAAAAAAAAAAGAAAGAAAGAAAAGGAATAATGTCTTCTGGCATGAAGACCAAACAAAAAAGGAAACAATTCCAGAGAGGGGTGGTTGAAGGGAGACGCCGGGCAGTGTAATATAAGATATAATAATAATTTATAAATTATTAAGGGTTGAGGGGGGAGTGGGAAGGGAGGGGGAGGGGAAAAAAGGAAAATGAGCTGATTCTAGGAACCCAAGAGGAAAGCAAATTTTGGGAATGATGAGGGCAACAAATGTATAGATGTGCTTTACACAACTGATCTATGTATTGTGATGAATTGTATGAGCCCCAACAAATTGATTAAAAAAATAATAATTTTAAAAAAGGAAACAATTCCTCTAAAAACCTTGTTTTTCAAAGTTTTGGTTACAGGTCAGAAAAATGACCAAACCGATGTTGGACATTGTCGAGCTAAGTTGGGAGCTGTCGGCTAACACTATTCATTCACACCAACAGCAACGCAGAGTATGTCAGGACCAAAGTGGGTACTGTGGACAGGATTTTAAAACTCAAACTTAAAACCCCTGTTCATTATCACCATCCCTAGGCAGAAGTTTTAACAGCCCGACTCTCTCCTCCAGCACTCTCTCCTCCAGCACTCGAGGTGTAAGAGTGTGATTTCATTCTGTCCACACATACCTGCTCTGAGTGTCCCTTGCTTTCTCCCCAAACAGGGGTGTGAGGCCCAGACGTCCTACTAAATCTCACACAGGTATTAAGTCCGATGTTTCTCCCAGAGCTACATACCCTTCTTCAATCAAAAGACCCTTGAAAACCTGTCACCCTAGGACACAGCAGGTGGTGGGGAACTAGCTCATAAGCCTATTAACACGTAAAGCCAATTAAAAACAAAGTAGCTGAAGAAAACACAAACTTACAAAGAGACCACAAGGTTAATTGACTTAGCCTACCCGATGGTGGCAAGCCCTGGGTATAAACACAGCCAGCACTGAGAGCCAGGCTCACGACCACAGAGAGCAATATACCATGTACAACACTCTAGAAAGGACTTCACTGCTGACCCCAATCAATAAAAATCAAACCAACGAAGGCGGGATTATCCATGTGTACGTTTATTTACACTATTCAGCTAATTCGTCATAACATATTCCGTACTTCTTAAAATACACAAAAAGCCTTTTTGAAAGGCAGTATCAGCAACGTGAGTGGGAAATCTCCCATTGTCCCCAGACCCCAACCAACGTCAGGGTGCACCCATGTCGAGAGTACTCCTGACCTGAGAAGGGCAGGAGCTGACTCAGAGTGGGTGGTTCTCAGCACTTACAGGAAGAAAGAGTATGCATCTAAGACAAAATGTCTATCAGCAGTAATCAGCAAGGGTCAAACCATTTCCACGGGTCAGAAGAGACATTTCCAGATTTTGAGTAGAGGGTTGGTGGGTGGCTTTGAGAGAGAGACCGGGTGCTCTCCCCCATTCAGGGCGCACCTCACATTTCAAAGTGCACCAGAAGCGCTGACCAAAACTCAACATCACTGAGTCAACTCCGACTCATAGGGAACTTATAGGACAGGGTAGAACTGTCCCTGTGGGCTTTCCAAGGCTGTATGTAACTTGTTATGGGAGTAGAAAACCTCACCTTTCTCCCAAGGAGCAGCTGGTGGTTTTGAACCGCTGACCTTGGGTAATCAACCCAGGCATAACTACTATGCCACCAGAGCTCAGCCAGCTGAGAGTGGGGCCCAAGAACCTGTATTTCTAATAGGTTTCCAGGCGAACGCATTCTTTGGGCAGTAAGGTTTTTACGGAAGATGTTTAGAAACAGCCACCAAGGATTTTCTCCTTAGCAATCCCAGGCACGGCTCACTGTTAATTTGTCTTACTGTGGTGGCTTGCATATGGCTATGATCCTGCCACCAGTATTTCAAATGCCAGCAGGGCCACCCACGGGGGCAGGCTTCAATAGCTTCCAAACTCACACAGACTAGGAAGAAGAGGTGGATCCTTTCAGATAGGTTAGCCACTGGGAAACCTTAATAACAGCAGTGTTTTCCAAGAAGTGCAGGCAAATTTGCTCCGTGGCAATGAAGGTGGTGAGACTTTGACCTCACGTACTTTCGGATATGTTGCCAGGAGACCTGCTGCAGGAAAGCGGCATCGTGCTTGCCCAAGTCAAGGGTCAGGGAAGAAGAAGACTCTCCAGGAGGTGGCCAGCAGTGATTGTGAGGACGGCGGCAGGGACGCCTTCTGTTTGTGCACAGGGGCGCTATGAGTTGGAACCAACCCACTGGCAGCTAACCACCACGGAAATAGAACACAAGCATTGTGGTTTGTTTTCAAATCCCTCTGAAGTGTGCTGTGTGCTAGATGGCCGGAAAGGGACTGTTATGGAAAGCAGGAGGGATGGGGCTCGGGGCTGAGCCAGGGCAGCGGTTCTTTGAGCAGCAAGGGCCTGTTGGAATCTGCTAATGCAGTGACACTGGGGCATAAGGCAGAGAGAGCAGCTCCCAGGGAAAGGTAGTTCTCAGACAGAGAAGGAGTTGCATCGCGAAGAGGAACAAGAAAGCCAGTTGTGACCACCGGAGACGGCAGCAGAGCATGACCCACAGCGTGATGAATGTGGGGCTGGCTGGAAGTGTGAGGGATGGGGCTGGACTTGCACCCTTAGAGGTGACAGCCAACGCCATGAGATTAAGAATTGCAGGAGGAAAGATCGAGCCGGGGTCTGGAGGGGGGAAGGGAGAGGTTAAGCTGGCAAAGCTCTAAGTCAGTGGTCCTCAACCTTCCTAATGCCATGACCCTTTAATACGGTTCCTCATGTTGTGGTGACCCCCAACCATAAAATTATTTTCATTGCTACTTCATAGCTATCATTTCGCTACTGTTATGAATTGTCATGCAAATATCTGATATGCAGGATGTATTTTCATTGTTACAAATTGAACATAATGAAAGCACAGTGATTAATCACAAAACAATATGTAATTATATAGTGTGAAATACTGATTTCTAATGACAAATAAACGAAATTTTGTCTTGAAGCATGGGTCTTCACGCTGGGTACTCGTATGTGGGCATAACTGCATGTGGGCAGACCCACCTAGAGAGCCGTGTCTCGGTTCCTAAGACCTTTGGAAATACGTACTTCCCGATGGTCTTAGGCAACCCCTGTGAGAGGATCGTTCAACTCCCAAGGGGTCCAGACCCACAAGTTGAGAACCGCTGCTCTCAGCAGATTATCCTTTAGTTCTCACTCAGCTATGAGGCAGAACCCATTGCCGTCCAATCAATTCCAACCCATGGAGACGCTACACAGGACTCGCGAGCCTGTCCACCTTTACCGGAGCAGATAGTCTCATGGCTCTGCCTTGCAGTGGCTGTGGTTTTGAACCGCTGACGTTGGCGGTTGGCAGTCCTTGTTAACGTGTACCCCCGACAAGTGTCACTAGGGCTCCTAATGTGCTGAGGTAGGTACTATTCTTCTCACTCCACAGATACAGAAAACCGAAGCTCGGACTAAGTTCTGAGAGGGGTGCTTTAACAAACTGTCCTCGCTTCAAAAGGAAAGGTTCCATGACATTCTAGTGAGAGGGGCGGCTGTTGATGGGTTTTAGAAAACCAAGTGAACATCTTTGCTGAGTAAATTAAAGTTGTGCCCCTCCTTCCCTTCCCTATGTGTGAGAAGTCCCCACCACAGAACACCAGAGCTGCCCTGCCCCTGGGAAGACAGGTTTCAAGGATTCATCCTGGGGTCCTGCCTGGACTCTCCTCCCCACCAGCTCAGATCTCTACACCTCGGCCTCCTCACTCCTGCCAACTTCCTAGTGGGGGGTCAGATTAGATTAAATGAAACGTAACGCACGAGGGCCTTCGGATCATTTGTGGGAAAGTGTAATTAAAAGATAACTTTCCTGCAAACTTTTTAAGTCGTGTGTGTGTGTGTGTGTGTGTTCACTGTGTGTGTGTGTGTGTTCACTGTGTGTGTGTGTGTGTGTGTAATCTGTGTGTGTGTGTGTGTGTGAAATCACTGAGCAGTTCCAGGCACAAAGCAGGGTTTGCATAAACTCCAACTAGTAGTGGTGGCTCGATGGACTGCTAAATGCAAGGTCAGCAGTTCAAAACCACCAGCTGCTCCACAGGAGAAAGAGGAAGGCGGCTTCCTACTCTTTCCTGGAAAGAGTTAACAGTCTCAGAAACCCACAGGGGCTGTTAGTTCTAGCCTCCTGTCCCTCTAGGGCAGCAGTTCTCAACCTGTGGGTCACGACCCCTTTGGGGGTCCAACAACCCTTTCAGAGGGGTCGCCCAATTCGTAACAGTAGCAAAATTACGGTGATGAAGTAGTAACGAAAATAAGGTTATGGTTGGGGGGTCACCACAACATGAAGAACTGTATTAAGGGGCCACAGCATTAGAAAGGTTGAGAACCACTGCACTAGGGTCACGAGTCGGAAATGACTAGCTGACAGTTGTATTTAACACACCTCAATATCAACACTAACACTGATGACAATATACAAAAAGCCTTCGCTTTTACCAGCCGGGCGCTCACTCACCTCTATTGCTTTAACCTTCAATAAGGTGGGGCTTTTCAAAACACACATCACTCCTAAGTTACAAAACACTCACACCAGGTTATCAGAAGAGCACCAGGGCACAATAGTTGAGTGAGTGAGTGAGTATTCATTCCACTGCCAACAAGCAGAGTCCGGCTCGCATCGACCACTGTAGACAGAGCAGATTCTGGGGTTTCCAGGGACTATATTGTATGGCAGCAGAGAGCTGCGTGTTCCTCACTCCTAGCAGCCCAGCGCTTAGCCTGCTGTGCCAGGCTACTACTCAAGGGCAGAGGCTTAGATGCCAGCCCAGAGGTGAGGTCCTGCTTGGGGGAGCAGTCGGCCTGGCTCAGAGCCCCTGGCCTCCCTCCTGGGGTGTCCCGGCTTCCCTGGTTGTGCTGTTCAGACTGACTGGGCATGTGAGGAGGCAGAGGGCAGAGGCATACAGCTATCTACAAGCAAATAAGAGACACCATCCTATTTCCCCGCCCGGGACGCCGAGTCTGTGATGTGTGTGCATGAAGCTGCGGTTCTCTGCCGGTGACCTCAGTGCAACACAGGTCACGGAGTGGTGAGCTGCACCATACACGGTCATGAAGCTGCCTCTCGACTTGTGTGAAACATGGGAATCCAGGTACGTACGAAGGGGCTACAGAGAGTAGGTGGAAAAAATGGAAAGGGTCATCGAACTGTCCCACAAACGTTCTGCAGCACCTCATGCGTAAGGTTATTGAAAGCCAACCACCATCTAATGACCAGGAAACGCAGGTGGGGTGATATGGGCGGATCTCGTCTCGGAAGGATCTTGCCCGCTATCTACTGGTACTCATATTAATGAATTTAAAATCCATTTTCCTGTCTACTTCTCCCCCTCCTACTTCCCAGAATAAACAAAAACCAGCTCTAGCCTTTTCTTTGCCCAGCTTGACTCCCGGAAATATCCAGCCCTACAGCAGGGGATCTTGTGTGGCCCCACTCCCACCCCTGCAACCCTCTGTCCCCAATCCTTTCCACCTCTTTCTTCCCTTTCTCTGCCCCCTTCCCCAGAGCTGACCATTGCCTCCCGAACACACCAGGCCTCTCTGGGTCTAAGTCCCATCCTCTTCACTGTCACAGCAAAGCTTTCTGCAAAGTAGCACACACATGCCTGCACTTGAACTCCCTTTCCACCCACCCAACCACCCACACTGGCTTTGGCCACTGGCCACCAAGGAAACGTAATGTTAAGGTGGCTGACCTGATTCTACCTGGACAGTCTCATGAGGGGCGTGCAGCCCTCTGAGCTCTCCTCCACACAGCCTCTTCCTGCGCCCGAGAGCTTGGCCCCCTCCCAGCTACCATCATGCTCACCGCAAGACCCCTCCACCAGCATCCTTCCCTTCTCTCCCGACCTGGAGTTACAGCCTCGTCCACCGGGCACTGTCTTGGGCTCCCACAAGACCCTCCCACAGAGCACTGCATGACCAACATGCAATGTGCTCCACCAAAGCCCAGACTGCGACATATAACCCAGATACAGGCTTGCATGCTGCTACGGTGTCGAACGGGTTTCAGTGATGTTCCAGTCAGATAGACTAGGAAGAAAGGCCTGGTGATGTACTTGCAGAGTATCAGTCCCTAAAAGCCCCGACGAGTCACAAAGATCTGGTCTCACTGTGCATGGAGTTGGAGCCTGACTGCATGGCAGCTAACCGCCATCACCCATATCTGTCCTGCTGAGGCTTAACGCCGCACGCTCAGACACACTAGAACCCCATCTCCCCACTGCCAGCCCCACTATAGTAGCCCCACCACTAAGGTCAGTATGAAGCTGCCCATCAGAATAAGCCAGTATCTAGATCAGTGACACTCACTGCCATTAACAGGTCTCCAAGTTGTAGGGTTTCTCCTTTTGTAGGGTTTCTAAGGAGACACGCCTTTCTGGGAGTAGATAGCCTCACATCTTTCCCCCATGGGGAGGCTGGTGGGTTTGAACCGCCGACCTTGTCATTCACAGCCCAACACTTCCTTACTCAACATCACCTCTGCTACAACACTCTACATAAGCATCCCAGGTGGTCACCTCTACCTCAGCACAGGGCAAACACACTCATCAATACAGTACTGAACAAAGGCGCTCCAAATGAGGTACAGCTGAAAGCACTGATTGCAATGTCTACAAAAAAAGCCTAAGGTTCGGCTCCCCCATAATTTTTTTTGTTTTAAGTTCTACTCTCCTCAGGGTAGTGTTAGCGTGCAATGCCAAGCTGGCTCACTGAAAGCTGCGGTTCAAGCCCGCCAGTGACACTGTGAAAGAGAAAGCCGGCAACCGGCTCCGGTAAAGATGGAGGCCTAGAAAGCTCTCCCAGGCAGCTCTCCTCTGTGCTGCAGGGACTCAATCTGATGG